TGAGCCTATGGGGGCCAATTTCATCCAAACCACCACACATACATAGATTATTATTATTCATAAAAAAGAGGTAGGTATTTTTATATGCTCCAAGTTGGGCAAACCTTGAGAATACTGGGCTAAGTGTAGGAAGCCAAAGAGAAGTTGACATATTCCAGAATTCTGTTCATGTAAAAATCTAGATCAGGGAAGTGAATAGACATAGCAAAATAGAAGCTTTTTAGGCTTGAAGGGAGATGGGAGTTGGGGTGAGAACTGAAGTTTATAGCTTTCTTTCTTTGTCTGTGCATGTTCTGTGTGTGCATAGATGCACTTGTGTAAGCAGGTGAGTGTGTGTGTGTGTGTGTGTGTGTGCGCGCACACACACGCGCGCACACACACACACACACACACACACACACACACGTGAGCAGGCTAAAACCAACTTCATATTTCGTTTCTCAGGAGCCATCTACCTTGTTTTTTGAAACAGAATTTCTTACTAGGATCTGGCGTTTGCTAATTGAATTATACTAGCTGGCCGATGAGCTCAGGGATCCACCTATTACCACCTTCCAGCTGCCATGCCTGGATTTTTACATGGGTGCTGGAGTTTGAATTCAGGCCTTCGTGTGGTAAGTTCTTTATGACTGAGACATCTCCCCAGCCTCCACAATGTCCTAATGCTAGCTGTGTCTTGGTTGTGCATATACTAGAACCGCAGAACTAGATACTCTAAATACAAGAACGATATGGCATATGAATTATGCTGATAAAAATTTTAAGGGGACGTTCATCGTTGTGATTTTCTAGACAACTCAAGTCATTAGGGGACCTCTGCAACTAGGCCATCACACAACTTCTCAAGGAAACAGGCAGTTGCTAGTTGGAAAGCCACGTGGCATGGAGGTAAATTACCTACTCACAGCCATGCGACACTGCTGGGAAATCTTGGCAAAGCGCATGCAATTGTCTGCATTCCTGTTTCCTCTTCTGGGAAGGGCGCATGAGCACCTGTTATCAAATGTGAATGTCTGTAGAGCTCACAGTACAGTAGTCTGTTGTACAGCAGCCTCTCTTTAGTGCTCACAATGGTCTGGAATGTGCTAAATGCCCCCTGCCCCAACTTGTGTTGGAGTTTAATTTTTAGTATGAAGTATTAGGAGGGTAAAAACCTCATTTAACTATGGTATTCAACTTTTTTTTTTTTTTTTTTTTTTTTTTTTTTGAGAAAGGGTTTCTTTGGGTAGCTTTGGAGCCTTTCCTGGAACTCACTCTTTATCCCAGGCTGGCCTCCAACTCACAGAGATCTGCTTGCCTCTGCCTCCTGAGTGCTGGGATCAAAGGCGTGTGCCACCACCACCTGGCTGACTATGGTGTTCAAAGGAAGCCCTTGGGCTGTGGATAGGATTAGACAAGGTCATGAGGGTGGAGTCCCCATGAGGGAATACTGCTGACTCTTCAAGAGGAGAGAGACCAGAGAGACACATGGCCATGTGTGGCTCACTGTGACAAAATGTCTCTGCAGGTCAACTTAAGGACCATTTATTTTCATGGTTTTAGAGTTTCTGGTCTGTGGTCAAATCACCAGAGGCTGGGTGGTATGGGCAGCTGGCCCCATTATTTTTAGGCCATTGGTGAAGCATTGCATTGTGAACAGTAGCATAATGGAGAGAGGCGCTGACCTCCTGGCCACAGAAAGGAAGAGAGGGAAGGAAAGAGGTCGAGGACTGGACTAAGGACATGACAATCTTTCAAAGGCACTCCCCCAGTGACCAGCTTCCTCCAACTAGGCACCACCTCCTAAAAAGCCCATCAACCTATGAACTCAATAATAGGTTGATCATTGAACATATTAGCGTCTTCATGAATCAATCACCTCTCAGTGACACCATCTTCTGGGAGCCAGGCCTTCAATCTGTGAGTGAGCTTTGTGGGTTGGGGGGCACATTTGATATCTAAACCTTAACATGCTGTGATGACCTATGCCTCCCAGGAGATCAGCAAGGATGAAAGCTCTCACAGATGAAGCTACTCTTCCTTAGTCTTCCAAGAACCATGATCCAAAATGAAAATTTCTTTATTTAAAAAATACTCATAAACATACTATGTTATTACCCACATGGAACAGACTGACAGAGTACTCTTTGCCTACGAGAAATTAAATATCATAAAATACCTTGTTCTCATCCCAGGCTCACATTACAATAGATGGCACTTTGCCTTACCTCTGTCCATGGTACATGGCTGTAGTTGCTTCTCTGAACTTGCTGGAAGTTGTGGGTGAAAGCAGATGATACCTTGAGCCTGACCTGACCTATGAAATCAGTCCTTAACTCTTAAGGGTTGCTGAATCTAAGCAAGGTCAAGAGAGCCCTTTAGGGAAAGTCAATTTAGAATCTTATTGGACTGAAAAAGGACCCAGGGAATGCTTAGAAACGTGGGTCTGTGCATTTCCCTGAAGCCCTAAGTGGACCTTAAAACCCTTTCAGCATAACATGGCATTTTAAACTGTTCACAAAGAGCTCGATTGTGCCCAAATCCTCTCCACTGTTGCAGTCTTCCTTCTACAGGGGCAGCTCTTCCTTGATTCTTAGCCAGCTCTGATGCCCTGTCCCTTGGAGTGCTATTAAAGGTGCTGGCCCTTGCCTGTGCTGCAACAAGAAGACCTCCCAAGCCTGTGATGTACTGTGTGGTTGTTTGTCCACATGGATGGCCAATAGCTCTGTATGTTTATCAGAGATAGACAGACAGAAAATATGTTGCCTTTCCCAGTATCTTCCCCCTTTTCTCTTCTTCCTGTCTTCCATCTACTTGTGCCTAGAGTTGGGTATCAATTAGATATTTGATCAATGACCCAGCAAGGATGGAAGAAGAGCTCTTTCCATTGGCCAATGACATCTCCAGTCATGGGTTTCTCTCTGCTTTCCTTTCTAAAGCTGTTTCTAACCCTTAACACATTCTTGTCTGTGATGTGTAAGCTGTGTTATAGGCTGGACCCATAGGAAGGGGGTCTCTGCTTTACCAGTTGACTGAGCATGAGGCAAGAAGGTTCAGTGCTAGAAATCTGACTTATCAGGAAACCCAGACTTTTTTGTTTGTTTGTTTGTTTCTTGAGACAGGGTTTCTCTATATAGTTTTGGTGCCTGTCCTGGATCTCACTCTGTAGACCAGGTTGGCCTCGAACTCACAGAGATCCACCTGGTTCTGCCTCCCGAATGCTGAGATTAAAGGCATGCGCCAGCACCACCCAACCTAGACTTCTTAAGATGATGATTACTGAGCTAGGAAACAGCTCAGTTGGTAAAGGGCTTGTTGTGCAAACACAGGACCTACCTTTGATTCCCCAGAGCCCATATAAAAAGCTCGGTGTGGTGGCATGGCTTGGTAATCCCTGCACTAGAAAGGTGGAAATGGGAGGACCACGCTTGTTTCTAGTTAGAGAAGGACGCCGGGGCAAAGCCTGCAGGTTGATGAGCTACAGTGAGGAGACACTGGCAAGGGCCAGGGGTAAACAAGTGTTTAATGTGTAGCAGTCACAAAGAGTAAATCAGTAAGAAAGCCAGGAGACAGAACAGGACCAGAAGAATGGGTGAGAGCTTGAACAGGAACTTTCCTGAGAGGGAAATATAATACACTTTCCAGGAAGTACTCGGTCTTTTTAGTAATTAAGAAAGGGCAGAGCAAAACAATGAACTCAAATGGAAGACACTTGTTGCATTTCCCAGCTTCCTCTTTTTTTTTTTTTTTTTTGCCAAGAGCAATTACTGTCAAAGACACGGAAGTGTGGTAATATTAATTTCACATGTAGTAATCAGTACTAGTTACACTAGTACCATGTACAGGATTAGTCCAATATAAACTAGCCCAGACACTCTGCAGTACTTGGAAGCATTTAATGAAATAGAATTTGTATATATCTTTGGGTAGTGTAATCCTATGCCCAGGTATGCAGCTAGGGAAGTTCTTGTGCAGACCCAGGCACACTGGCCTACGCCGCTTACCCTGGTTTAATTGTTCACAGTGCTTCTATTTATCCAACAGGACAGTGTACAGCCTGATGAATTTGAGTACTAGGTAGCACCATGGTTACCCTGGTCTCTGGAAAGTGGCCCATTTCCCCTCTTACCAAAAGTCAAGACTTCCTCTGACCCCAGTCTGTGCTCATCTTGAACCCTCTCCCTCCCTGTCACAGAGAGTGGTCTCTGTTGTCCTGTGGTTTCATGATGTGAATGACAGCTTTGTCTATGACAGGAAAAGAGGTGTCCTATGGTTTCGTGATGTGAAAGAGAGCTTTGTCTATGACAGGAAAAAAGGTGCTCCATCATTTAAGACACCTGAAGACAAGCTGTGAGTGCTGGTGCACACCTTTAACCCTAGTGTTCAGGAGGCAGAGACCCTGTCTCAAAACCCAAACCAACAAACAACAAAACAGACACCAACATGAAATCAGACTTCATCTGAGTTCTGGGGCTATTTCATGGCTTCCTCTGGCTCCTAGGTAACCCTGAACACCTTCCTGTGTCACCTTTGCTGACCAAGGACTGGCATGGAAAAGGCTCCTTCCTGTCAGGGAGCCTGTGTGTCTCTAAAGGAGCTTCAGCTTTCCTCCTGAAGAGGCTATACAAACAGTAGTGCTTAGATGTCTGCAGGGGGCTGATTGGAAGGGAGCCTTCTCTCTGGCTCCAGGTGCTCCGGGCTCTGCCTAGAACCAGGTGATTGCCAGAGCCAATCCCAGCAGTGTTGGAGCTGAATCCCCAGAGCAAGCACCACCAGGACTGAGCTAGAGTGAGGTGGAGCAGTGTCTTTAAAAGCATTTTTTGGGGGTTGGGATTTAGCTCAGTGGTAGAGCGGCCGTGGGTTCGGGCCTCAGCCGTGGGTGGGGGGGGGCGGACTTCAAGACCCAGTGACCATCCAGGAGGGGGTTGTGATCCTGTGGAAGGTATCCGCCCCCCGCCCCGCCCCTTTTCCAGACAAACTGTGCTTCTGGTTGGAGCAGTGGGACTGAACATTCTGCTCCTAGCCCAGGTGACTTAGGGTGACTGAGATGCAGCCCTCCTTCCGCTCTTTCCCTCCAGGGTACTGGGAATGGATGACATTTCTCAGTTTTTCTGTCCTGGATCTATGAATTCTATTGCCAGCAGTCTGGTGTCCCAGGTCTGGCGCTTCCTTGGCTGTGGACATGAAGAGGTTACTCCAGCCCTGGAGCCCGCTGGGCTGAGTTAGCACTTCCCTCCACATCCAGGAGCTCGCCAAGTAACAGCCCCTTCTGCATCACGGAAAGGGGGTAGCAGAGCAGACTAGGGACACCCGCTGCAGTGGGTCGCAGCAGGAGCTCTGTCAGCATGTGTCGTTCAGCGGATTCCCACTGCCAGGCCAGGCTGCGGAGAACTGGAAGGCAAAGGCATCTGGAGGAGTGAAGGATGAGCCAGCGACGACAGTGGCCCCCCCAGCTGCAGAGCCCCTGCTCAAGCTGCTGCGCACGTCTTTTGCTGTCTCCCCAGGCTGCAGCGATCCCTGGGACCCAGAAGACCCCTGGAGCCGCGGAGATCCAGTCAGGACCCAGGAGCCCAGGACTGTCGCCTGTGAGGCCAGCTCCCCAGGGAGCCTGGGCAGCGCTTTGCCTGTAGCTGGTGCTGGGACGCGGCAGGGCTGGAGCCCTCTCTAGCCAGTGTGGTCCAGAGCTGAGCAGCAATTGTCTCTTCCCTAGTCACAGGAGAGGCTCGTCCTGTTGGGGCATTTTAGATTGGGCTCTACAGCTAAGGCTTGTAGCTCCCTTGGTTTGCAGAACCTTCAGGGTGTCATTTCTCACTTGATCAGGGTTTGAGGGAAAAACGACAAGGAACAGAGCAGGTCTGGTAAACTTTGGAGGCGGGGACTTTTTTTTTTGAAGGGGACAAGTGGCCCCAAATCTGCTACTGTTCTTGGAATAGTGATAAAGTCTGCTGGTGGGACACTAAGTATCCCATCACAGCCACAAGAGCAACAGCAAGGACCTACGACCATCATGGAGTCGGTGCTGACAGCATCCAGTTCCCCCACAGGCCGGGTTACCTTCTCCCGTGTCTTTGGCCAACAGTGTCAGCTGATGGAAGCAGGTAGGAGGTGGCCAGAGAGTGGGAAGCAGTCTTCTGGGAGTGGAGGTCTGTCCATCAGTGTGTGTGTGCACGGGTCTGTCTGATCTCTTTCTCCATGTTATTCTGAGCGGGACTAACTTGAGATGTGACAGCTGACATCTGTCACTTTAAATGATAAACTTTTTAGGTCTGACTATGAGACTTGAAGCTACCACTGGGGTATGATGAGTGAGGGTCCCTGTTTGTCTTTGTATGTCTGTTTTCTCTGGCCAGCTGTTGGAGGAAATATGTGCGCGTGGGGGATGGGGGTGGGGTAAGGTAGAGTGCTGAGTGTGCCCACCTTTGGGGGACAGTTGTTAGTCCTGGACTAGTTGTCTTTCTGTCCCTTGCCTCTCTGTTCCTGAATGCTGCAGCAGCCATGCCTTGAGGCACTGTTGGAATAGCTTAGATGCCCACATAAAATCTTCTCTGGTCTTTGCCTCTGCTAGGAGATCTCTCCGGCAACCTTTGACCATAGTTCTGTCTGGTGTTTTAAGAAACGAAAAGTTGGCATCATGGAAGTTATAATCCATGCCAGCTGTCTTGCTAAGATGTGCATGTGATCACAGATTAAAGTCAGGTATGGGTATATGGCTCCATGTGAATGGTCACCAGGAGGGAGCCCACAAGTGATACTTAAGGTATTACATCAGAACTTGTATGCTTGTTTCTCTGCTTCTTATTTGTTGATTTTTTGAGTTCATTCCTGAGAAAAGGACTGAGTTTGAAGTATAATTAATTGTGTGTTTTGCCTTGAGTCTCAGGAAGATAATGGGAAGACAGCTGTCTTAGGAGTCTGGGGCTGAGTCACATGGATACTTTCATGGGTAGTCCCATGACTTGTGATGGCAGACCCTTCCTCCATCCCTGTGATATATCATTCTAGGTATAAAACCTAACAACTGGACTTAGGCCTTCCTGGTCCGCCCAGACCTAGGGCTCTGTGCTCCCAGGAGCACTGCTTGGGAGAGATGTTAAAGTCCTGCTCATTTCTAAGACAGGATGCACAGAGAGGCAACTCGTGGACTGGGAGGGCTCAGAGCTAGACTGCCTAGGCTTGAGTCCCAGCTTTGCTTTTATAAGTTGTAAGTTGCTTGTCCTCAGACAAGATCCCTAGCTTTTCTGTGCCTCAACCTCCTCATCTGTAGGGTGGGGGATGCCAGGTACCTTTACATGGGGCCACTGCGAAGGTGAAATAAGTTAATACATGGTGGACCCCTTTGTGTAGGTTTGTGTGGACATCTGGCTTTGCAGAGAGGGGCACAGTGGGCTCTGTAGGAGAAAACAGCAGCACCAAACAGCCCTGTCTGCCCTGTAGCTGAATTCTGGTTTATCCAGACACTGAGAAACTCCCACTTCTCCATCCGTCTGTAGAGGTGACTGCCACCCAGGAGGGTCGAGTTGTCCTGCTTCTCCGAGGTTGCTGGGGGAAGGCAGATTGGATTTCTAAAGCGCCTGGGTCCCCTGTGGCGTTCTCCTCCCTCCTCCTCCAGCACCCTGACCTAAATCAGGCCATGAAATCCTCATTCTCCTTTGTGAAACCAAAAAAAAGAAAAGAAAGAAATAAAAACCACCCAAACTCCCCACCTCCTTTATATCAAGAGAGTACTGCAAGATAGAATAACAACAACGGCTAGTTCTCTCTAGGGAGGACTCTCTCCCTGAAAGAACACAAGGAGGAATCATTAGCCTGTAGTCAAAGAAGCTCACTAAATTAGGAGGTGGAAGGGATAAAGAGAAACCCTAACTTGTCTCCAGCCAGCCATTTGTAGTCGGTTAGTGAGATAAAAGAGATCTTCAATGTATATTCCAGTGACTTTCAGACTCGTAGCTTGGCAGCTGGGTTAGTCATGGCTGTTCCCCAGGGAACAGCAGCTGTCAGCCCCAGGTATTTTTAAGGCATTCCCTGTGTGCTATCCATGGTGCCAAGATCTGCAGTATCTACAGGGTGAGGTATTGCCCTCGCTCGGGAGTGCTGGTTTGGCTGGAGGTAAACATAAATCATATTGAGGAAACGAGACACTATGATTTCTCAACTATGCCATTTCCCTGGCCACCCTTCTTCTATTTTATGAAAACTATTTTCCATAATTAAAGAAAAAAAAACCTAACCAATTTTCACAAGCAAAAGAAACACTCAAGGATGGCCTTCTGGCTCACACCTACACCATTTGGGGAGGAAATCTTTGGAGCCATGCTTAAAGTCTGTGACTTTAACCTCAAAAAGACATGTCCCTGATGGTGACACTGGTTCATTGTTTACATCCATCAGTATCTCATGTCAGGCTTAGCGAAGATGGATCTGGGCATGAAGCAGTAAGGATGCAAAAATAGGATATGGAGTGTGTGTGTGTGTGTGTGTGTGTGTGTGTGTGTGTGTGTGTGTGTGTGTACATCAAGGATTTTGGAGATAGGGATAGATTTCTGGCAGCAAAAGTAAAACTGGGCATAAGTGAGACCCATATAACCCTGACCCAGTGAACAGCAGTAGTTATGTGAAGGTTGGCTAGCATGTAGAAAGATATAGACTTCTTTTTCATTTAGTCCCAGTTTAGTTGTTGCTGGCTGTATAAACTTTATAAACTCCAAAACCCCAGAGCAGACACTGGCAAACAGCACTCCTGGGGCCAAACCAGGCCCACTACTTCCTTTTGTAAATAAAGTTTTATTGACACACACAGCATACCCATTCAAATACATTTTGTCCACGGTGCTTCTGTGCTACAGTGGTAAAGTTGAAGAGTTGTGGCCAAGGCCATGTAGTGTTGAAAATACTGTCTGGCTCTTCATAGAAAAGCACTTTGCTGACTCTTGCTGACTTAGTTAGGGTTACTATTGCTGTGATGAAACACTGTGACCAAAAGCAACCTGGGGAGAAAAGGATTTATTTGGCTTACATATTCTTAATCACAGTCCATTGAGGGAAGCCAAGGCACAAACTCAAACTGGGTGGGAACCTGGAGGAAGGAGCTGATACAGAAGCTGTGGAAGGGTGCTGCTTACTAGCTTACTTCTGATGACTTGTTTAGCCTACTTTCTTATAGAACTGAGGACCACCAGGCCAGGGGTTGTCCCACCCACAATGGGCTGGGTTCTCCTTTATTAATCACTAAGGAAATGCCCTATAGGCTTACCCACAGTCCAGTGTTATGGAGGCATTCTCTCAACTGAGGTTCCCTCTTCTCAGATGACTCTAGCTTGTGTCAAGTTGACATAAAAACTATCCCGGATTCTGGACCTAGAGCAAGAGATGTGGCAGAGTGGCATGGACCTGACTAAAGTCTGGGAGCTTGATTCTGACTGATGCTTCATTGCTGAAGCCTTTGATGCTGCATGGTACCTTTACTCCCTCACATCCTCTGCCACCTGCACAATGCCACACTGTTGGTTTAGGAAGCATTCATATGGATGTGGAGGCCATAATGAAAATAGACTTGTGCCCAGGCCCAGAGCAACTGAGCTAGATCACCATCTTCACAGCCTATTTCCTAGTCAATAGTTATGGTCTGGATGTTGGGTGAGTTTGGATTAAACTTCTGTTAACATCATTCTGGACCATATACTCAAAATGGCCACATCAAAGGCTAGGATCATAGTGGAGTTCATAGTTCATCAAGGGTAGTTCATAGTGGAAGGCTTGCCTAGCACATGAAAGGGCCAAAATTCTATCCCTAGCACCATACAAACAAAAAGCAATAAACCACAATTTCTGCAGAGAGTTTTGAATCTCTGTCAGGTCTTGTCAAAGATGTAGAGAAGACCTTCGGTGGCTTTGATGCTGTTGTGTACCTTTGACCCTCACCAGAATCCTTCATTTCACTCCTGATACCTAGCCCACAAAGGTACTAGGTTTTTTGTTTGTTTGTTAATTTTTTTTTTTACAGTTATGTCTAACTCCTAACACAGTGGTTTTCTTTTCCTGTTTCCTCTGTCACAGCCTCAAACAGCAGGTGAGAGGTTGGCTTGTCTAGACAAACATGGTAGACGAAAGCTCCATTCTTCCTGTTTCTCCTCCTGCAGGTGGAAGCAGAAGGCCTCGTTCCCATTGGCTGTTGGCTGTCATCACTCTGCTTTAACATTGTACCAAGGATGCTGGGGAAGTCTGATGGGACAGACAGCAGAGGCTCCAGCAAGTGTGTTCTTTAGTGTGGCTGAGCAATTTGCCTCTTGTCTGGTCTGCAGAGTATGTGACAACACATGCTTCTGACTCAGTGTCTGGGTGTTTTCACTGAGGGCTCTTGACCTTTCTCTCTCTCTCTCTCTCTCTCTCTCTCTCTCTCTCTCTCTCTCTCTCTCTGTGTGTGTGTGTGTGTACGTGTATACACATGCATGCAGAGGCCAGAGGTCCAGAAGCCAACCTCAACTGTCATTTCTCAGGGACCAATCGTCTTATTTTTGAGACAGGGTCTCTCACTGGCCTAGAAGCCACCAGGTAGGCTATGCTGGCTGACGAGTGAGCACCATGAATATGACTATAATTGCCTACCTAGTGTTGGGGTTATATGCACATGCCATGACACCTGGCTTTTAAAATGGGAGTTCTGGGGATCAAAATCAGTCCTGTGCTTATAATGCAAGCACTTTGCTGTCTGAGCCATCTCCCCAGCCCAGTAACCTTTTGTCCTCTTCAGAGCCCGTGAAATGTGTGACAGGCATATCTCCACCTTGATGTGCAGTGGGAGACTCTTGATTCACCTTTGGTCTAGCATTCATTGTGTGGTGGCCACAGATTGCAGGGAGGCTTGGTTTCCTGTCCCAGAAGCTGACTTGGGAAGCTATCTCCATGTTACCTGAGTTAATTTGCAGTGTGTATTTGGGGCAGAAAGCATTTCCATGGGTTTATAGAGCTTGACCAGTTAGACCGAAGTCACCCTGTCTACTGTGTTCTGCTGATGTTGCAGGAACCCAGGACTGGCCCAAGGGGGAAGGGAGACAAGAGGAGAGGACAGGGAGGTGATGCTTGAGCTACTGCTGCTGCTCTG